ACAAATCCACAATACTAAGGGAAAATCCAACTAAATGGTTAATTTCAAAAAACAATTAAATATTAACTCGTTTTGCTTTAACAGATACATTTTATTTTGGTTTATATAATCATGTAAATAAACAAGTTATTTATCTTAGTTGTTGTTATTGACGTTGTTTTGTTAATAAAATAACAACATTTTTATATTGTTTTTAGATAAGATTAATAAAACTGTATATTTACACTCTTACTTGTCGTACGAACATAAATATTTACTCGTACTTGTTGTACTCAAAACTGCAGTTTATAAATAGTGTTGCAAATAAAAATTAAAAAAAATATATATTTTAAGGAAATAAATAAAATTGGCACCATTTTCAATGGGTTTTGTTTCCATAAATAAAGATTTGTTGGCAAATAGAAACTAAATAAAAGTGAAGCAGAAAAAAACTGTTACAAATTAAGGGTATTTGCCATAAATATATAACAATATCGTATTGTAACGGAAATTTTATTTAAAAATTTGGATTATGTAAAGCAATGGTCATCTCTACCTGGCTTTAATTGTATTAAATGACTCAAGGTTTTTGAACCTTTTGCTTTTTTTTATATTAAAAGAAATCTTTAATGTTCTGTTGGAAATGTTTATTTTTTTATTCTGATTCTGATTTTTTGATAATCAGTTTAAATTTGAAAAAAAAATGCTAAATACTCATCATCAAATGTTATTTTTTTAGCTGTTAATGTGGATTTCAATTTTATAATTTGTTTTCGGTTGAGTTCGGTTTGTTTGAAAAGATTTTTTGTTTAAGATTATGTGCCAGGTAATTAAATAACGATCTTTTTTGTGAAAAATGCAAAATTAAAAACAATTTTCAAATGACGTCATTTTTAAGTTCTACGTAAAGGAAATGGAACAACAATAAAAATACATATTTAACTATTTATCTGTACTCCCTCGTATGACTCAAAAATAATGTTGGCTAAAAAGATGATATTTATCATTTTTTTACTTATTTAATCATAATGAACCTTTAGTAAAACAAAAATAACAACTATGTTTAAATGTTTATCTTTTGTTCTTTATCAAGCAGAAAAAAAAACAAAACCAACAATAAAAAACCTTAATATTTATTTAATACTAGTCATTAGTGTTACTAAAAAACCACGACATTGTTTTTTTGAACAACAACAACAATTAGTTCAAATTTATTTACATGGAAAATTCCAGCTCAATCTAAAGGAATTTTTTAAATAAACATAATTTCAAAATCTTATATAAATTTCGAGTAATTTGAGGAATATTAGGCGTTTTACCAAATGTTGCTAGCAACATGTTACTGTGCACTAATTGTATTTTGAAATTGTTTTTAATTTTTTAATAGGTTTCACATGGAAGTATTCTGTGTTATTATTTATTTTCAAGATTTTTTAAACTTTTTGGAATGTTGCTAGCAACTTGTTGCTAAAAATAATTTATAAAAATAATTTTTTGCTTTGTTCTTTCCTTGTATATTAATAAACTAAAATTGATTTTGAATTAAATTCACAAATTACCACTAATTTTTAGGAAGTTAGAATTTACACAATGTTGCTAGCGACATGTTGCTGTGCCCTAAATGTGTTATTGTTTTGAAATTATTATAATTTTTTAAATTAGATTTTACATAGAAGCTTTTTGTGTTATTTAAATATATTTTCAAGATATTTGAAATTTTTTGGAATGTTGCTAGCAACTTGTTGCTTAAAATAAAATGCTAAAAATTCTACTTATCTTTCTTATTTCTTTGTATATTAATAAAATAATATTAATTTTAAATAAGATTCACAAATTACCGTTAATTTTTGGAAGGTTGGAATTACTTTTGAATGTTGCTAGCAACTTGTTGCTAACAAAATTTTTTACTGTAGTTTTTTCTTTCAATTTTATAATTCTTTTAAATTCGTTTTACATTAAAGATTTCTAAGTTATATAAAAAAATTCAATATTTCGCACAAATTTTAAGAATGTTGCTAGCAACTTGTTGCTAAATATTTTATACATAAATAAAAAATTGATTTTCTTTCTTTTTTTTCAAAGTTTAGTTCTATAACAAATATTTTTATTTAAACTAGAAATTTTTACAAGGATGTGTTAAAATGTTCGAATGTTGCTAGCAACATGTTGCTAATATTAAAATTTATGAAATTTTATAAAAAACTTTTTTTTTGTATTTTTAAGAAAAAAATATAAATTTAAAAATTCCCAATATTTTAACTAATTTAAAATGTTGCTAGCAACTTGTTGCTAAACATTATTTAAGCTTTTTCAAGGATTTGTATAAAAAAATTAAAACAAACACATTATTAAAGTTGAAGTAAACTCTAAATTAAACAATTATTCTGTAAGGCAACCTTTACTATTGACAATGAATATCAAAGCAACATGTTGCCCACAAATTGTAAATTAACAAATTTTGTTTAAAGAAAATAAATCTTTTAATCCATTACTGTTTTCATTTCACCAACATTTTGTTAATCAGTTAATCAATTTTATAATTTGCTTTTTTCTCAAATCTTTAATTTTCCCTCTACTTTGTCGGTTTGGTATTTTTTTTGTTATTTGAAATCTAAAGTTTTTTAAACTCTTAATCCATTTTAAATCATTTTAAAGTGTATGTGACTGAGTGCATTAGTTTGTAGAGTTTAAAGGTTTCTTTCTTTCAAAAGTGAAATAAACCAATATTATCAATATATGTACATTTATTGTGGTTTTTGGGGAAAGGTAATAAACATTATAGATTTGTGTGTGTGTGTGTTTTATTTTAATTATAAACAGGTTTCTATTTTCACACGCTTATTTATTTTCGTAATCTATATATATTTTTTTTTGCTTTTTTCCAAAGGTTTATAATGTTCAATGGAATGTTGGGTTTGTTAGAAGTCGGTGTCTGTGTTTTAAAGAAGGGAGAGTTATTTGACAAAATTTCACTTTGATTTTATGCCGGATATTATGTAAGCTAGGGGCCTTTGAAAATTAGATTTAAATGGACTGTTAGATAGAATTGTCTAGTTAGTTAATTAGTTTGAAAGGAGGATGTAGGTATACAGGTGGGAATCGAACTCACCATCTCCGGTCTACCAGACTAGAACACAATTTAACAGAATTTCCTTTCTGTCTCTTATTATCACGTTTTTAGCAACATTTTAAACTATTTAATCTATAGAATTATTGAAAAAATATATATTATAGAGTACATTACTTAACTGTTTTCTTGGCAGGTTTGTTAAGCAACATGTTGCTATTAAAAACGCTAAAAATTATACTAGTAAAACGTTAATGTTATTCTAAATGTTGCTGGCAACAAGATGTACAATCGTATATAAATTAAAAAAGACGAAAATAGTTCTGTAACTTCTTAATGGTTTCTCCGATACTAATGAAATTTCACTTGCGAAAAGAGGACCCACCAGAGACCAGAGTCAGGGGTCCACAACGCATTATACTATGTTAATAAGTTTGCGAATTGTTGGCAATATACTAGAATCACTAGCAACACCTTTTTGTTAAAAGTTTATTATGTGAGAAACATTTCGTAATCATTATGTTGCTAGCAACAAGTAGCTAAAGTATGTATATAAAGTATATTATAGAATTTTGTATTTCAAATTGTCTAGCAATATGTTGCTTTTAAAAAATCTTTAAAATTTTTATGTATTACTTTAACAATTTTAAATTTAAAATATTAAACGTTATTCCAAATGTTGCTGGCAACAAGTAACTAAAGTATGTTTAAAAAAAAACTTGTTAATATGTGAAAAAGTTGGTATTTTAATGTTATTCTGAATGAACACTATTGAGAAATAAAGCCTGCAACAAGTGAGAAACATTTTGTGAATATTATGTTGCTAGCAACAAGTAGCTAAAGTATGTAACTAGGTATTATATGTTAATTTTAGAATGTTATAGTTCAAATTGTCTAACAACAGGTTGCTTTTAAAAAATCTTTAAAATTTGTATGTTTTACTTTAAAAATTTTAAAGTTAAAATATTAAACGTTATTCCAAATGTTGCTGGCAACATGTAACTAAAGTATGTTTATTATGTGCAAAAATATGGCATTTTAATGTTATTCTGAATGAAATCTATCGAGAAATAAAGCTGGCAACAAGAGACTGAAGAATAGTTTAACTATTGCAACAAATGTTGCTGGCAACAAGTAACTAAAGTATGTTTTAAAAAACATTGCTATTATGTGAAAAATATGTCATTTTAATGTTATTCTGAATGAAAACTATTGAGAAATAAAGCTGGCAACAAGTGACTGAAAAATAGTTTAACTATGGCAACAATGTTGCTGGCAACAAGTAACTAAAGGTCTTTTTAATTTGACATTTTTCTCAAATATTCGTTAGTATTTCTTACAAAACTTAATCTATGTAGAAATGTTATATACATATAATGTTGCTGGCAACAAGTTGCTAAAGAATTTTACTTTAAAAACAAGCTTTTAACCAAATTTACATTTCAAAAATGTAAAAAATACCAAATTAAATAGTTTGTAATAAAAAAACTTTCTCATCATTATGTTAGACAAACAAAAAATGTTCATGGTTTTAAAATTTTCTAACAATTAATTATAATTTTAAGAATTTTACACTAAAGGAAGTTACAAATTATGGGAAAGATTAAGAAAAACAAGAAATTTTGACACTTACATTAATGTTAAAAAAAAGAATTTTAAACACAATTTTTTTAGTATTTCTTTCAAAAACAAACACTAGGCGGTAAAACTTTAAACAACACCCTCCCTTTATCCAATGCCTATTAAAAAACTATAAACTAAAAATGATTTCCATGTTTTAATAAATTATGTAAAATTAATTTTCTGGTTTCTACTCACTCTCTCTCTCTCTTTCCTTCTAATTAAACAAAATTTAAATAAATTATTTTAAAACCTGATTTTAAGTAAAATTTTTAATATTTTGTTTCATAAGTCTATAGATTAATGTGCATTTTTTATATTTTTATCTTTACAGAATTATATCATAAACGAAATAAATCAACAACAAAAAAAAACTTGAGTGAAAATATTAAAAAAAAAAATCGAAAGAAAAAATGTTAAGCAGGAGGTGTGTTTTGAGTTGCTGCGTCAGACCATAATGCACCAGTGACTTTCTTTTCCATTAAAATTTTTTTTCAACAATTTCTACGAAAAAAAGTGAATTTATAAAAGAAATTTTTAAATAAAAATACAAGTGTTTTTTTAATAAAGAAAATCCCCCAAAAAAAGTTAAAAAATAAATGAAAGAAAGAAAAAAATGTTAGTTCCGTGTTTAAACATGATTAAAAATTGAATTAGTGCATAAATTAAAACAACAAATTTGTTACTAATAATATTAATAAGAAATTCAATTAATAAAAGAATTAAATTTAAAGTTTTCAAATCATATTAAATGTTGTGCAAAATAAAATATTAAAAAAAAAGCTGTAAACTTATTAATTTTTTTATTATAAACTTTTACTCTTGCAACAAGTCACTACACTACATTTGTATTTTGTTGCCCAACAAACAACACACAGAAAACTTGTAGAGAAAAAAAATGGATACAACCACTTCAAGTATTGATACTGCCAACAGCAGTGGCATGAGCACAATGAGCAGCAACAACAGCAGCGGCAGCAGCAACACAAATGCAACAGATACCACAGATGGTTTGCCGTTTTGTTTTATACGGGTAAGTTTTTTTCTTTTGTTTTATTAAAAAAAATAATATTTTTTAAATTAATAATTGATTTAAAAAATATGAAATTTTATTTCATTTTGAGGTTTTGTAATTTGAAACCTTTAAACAAAAATTTTTGTAAATATTTTGTTGTAAAGTAAAAAACAAAACTAGACATGATTCACTTTAATGTAAATCTATTAATTTTCCAATATCTTTTTTTTATTTTTGAAAACAAGTTGACAGCTGTCATTGATACTTGACATTCCAGTAGCGAAAGTCACTCTAATCTCTTTTTCTGCTGTTGTTGTTGTTATTGTAAATTGTCTAATATAACGTGTTCGAAATTTGTAAACTTAGAAAATTTCTATAAGATATCTTGCCAAATAAAATTTTTCAATTTGACTAGGGATTAGTTTCATATTGATGATTAATATTCCCAGCAACATGTAAGAGATAATATTTAAACTATTAGAGAAAAATTTTAGTCCTTATATTTCAATTTTAAAGCAACTTGTTGTTAGACTATGAGAGATATCATATGTATCATTATTTTAATTTGATGACAATATGTTGCTGATATGTGTACCGAAATTATTTCTAAGTATATTGCAATTGATATAAGTTTGAATCTATTAGATTGCTTTTAATTTAGGGCAACATGTTGCTAAAATTATGTGCGAAAATTTAAACAGTTCTAGTTCAGTTCTAGTTCAGTTCTAGTTCAGTTCTAGTTCAGTTCTAGTTCAGTTCTAGTTCAGTTCTAGTTCAGTTCTAGTTCAGTTCTAGTTCAGCTTCTAGTTCAGTTCTAGTTCAGTTCTAGTTCAGTTCTAGTTCAGTTCTAGTTCAGTTCTAGTTCAGTTCTAGTTCAGTTCTAGTTCAGTTCTAGTTCAGTTCTAGTTCAGTTCTAGTTCAGTTCTAGTTCAGTTCTAGTTCAGTTCTAGTTCAGTTCTAGTTCAGTTCTAGTTCAGTTCTAGTTCAGTTCTAGTTCAGTTCTAGTTCAGTTCTAGTTCAGTTCTAGTTCAGTTCTAGTTCAGTTCTAGTTCAGTTCTAGTTCAGTTCTAGTTCAGTTCTAGTTCAGTTCTAGTTCAGTTCTAGTTCAGTTCTAGTTCAGTTCTAGTTCAGTTCTAGTTCAGTTCTAGTTCAGTTCTAGTTCAGTTCTAGTTCAGTTCTAGTTCAGTTCTAGTTCAGTTCTAGTTCAGTTCTAGTTCAGTTCTAGTTCAGTTCTAGTTCAGTTCTAGTTCAGTTCTAGTTCAGTTCTAGTTCAGTTCTAGTTCAGTTCTAGTTCAGTTCTAGTTCAGTTCTAGTTCAGTTCTAGTTCAGTTCTAGTTCAGTTCTAGTTCAGTTGTAGTTCAGTTCTAGTTCAGTTGTAGGTCAGTTCTAGTTCAGTTCTAGTTCAGTCTAGTTCAGTTCTAGTTCAGTTCTAGTTCAGTTCTAGTTCAGTTCTAGTTCAGTTCTAGTTCAGTTCTAGTTCAGTTCTTGTTCAGTTCTAGTTCAGTTCTAGTTCAGTTCTAGTTCAGTTCTAGTTCAGTTCTAGTTCAGTTCTAGTTCAGTTCTAGTTCAGTTCTAGTTCAGTTCTAGTTCAGTTCTAGTTCAGTTCTAGTTCAGTTCTAGTTCAGTTCTAGTTCAGTTCTAGTTCAGTTCTAGTTCAGTTCTAGTTCAGTTCTAGTTCAGTTCTAGTTCAGTTCTAGTTCAGTTCTAGTTCAGTTCTAGTTCAGTTCTAGTTAGTTCTAGTTCAGTTCTAGTTCAGTTCTAGTTCAGTTCAGTTCAGTTCTAGTTCAGTTCTAGTTCAGTTCTAGTTCGTTCTAGTTCCAGTCTTGTTCAGTTCTAGTTCAGTTCTAGTTCAGTTTAGTTCAGTTCTAGTTCAGTTCTAGTTCAGTTCTAGTCAGTCTAGTTCAGTTCTAGTCAGTTCTAGTTCAGTTCTGTTCAGTTCTAGTAGTTCTGTTAGTTCTAGTTCAGTTCTAGTTCAGTCTAGTTCAGTTCTAGTTCATTCTGTTCAGTTCTAGTTCAGTTCTAGGTCAGTTCTAGTTCAGTTCTTAGTTCAGTTCTTTTTTTTTTAGTTTAGTTCTGTTCAGTATCTAGTTCAGTTCTAGTTACCGTTCAAGTCAGTTCTAGTTCAGGTTCTAGTTTCAGTTTAGTTACGTTCTAGTTCAGTTCTAGTTCAGTTCTAGTTCAGTTCAGTTCAGTTCTAGGGTCGTTCTAGTTCAGTTTAGTTCAGTTCGAGTTCAGTTCTAGTTTCAGTGCTAGTCAGTGCTAGGTCAGTTCTAGTGCAGTTTAGTTCAGTTCTAGTTCAGTTCTATGTCAGTTTAGTTCAGTTCTAGTTCCAGTTCTAGTCCGTTCTGTCAGTTCGTTCAGTTACTGTCAGTTCTAGTTCAGTCTAGTCCGGTCTAGTTCAGTTATAGTTAAGTTCAGTCGTTATAGTTCAGTTCTAGTTCAGTTAGTTCAGTTCATAGTCAGTTCTAGTTCAGTTAGTTCGTATAGTTCAGTTCTAGTTCAGTTCTAGTTCAGTTCTAGTTTAAGTTCTAGTTCAGTTCTAGTTCAGTTCTAGTTCAGTTCTAGTTCAGTTCTAGTTCAGTTCTAGTTCAGTTCTAGTTCAGTTCTAGTTCAGTTCTAGTTCAGTTCTAGTTCAGTTCTAGTTCAGTTCTAGTTCAGTTCTAGTTCAGTTCTAGTTCAGTTCTAGTTCAGTTCTAGTTCAGTTCTAGTTCAGTTCTAGTTCAGTTCTAGTTCAGTTCTAGTTCAGTTTTTAGTTCAGTTTTAGCTCAGTTCTAGCTCAGTTCTAGTTCAGTTCTAGTTCTAGACACATACTTTGTAATTTTTTTTTAATTTAGCAATATCTTGATCTAAATTATTATTCAATATAATAATTATGGAAAAAAAAGTTGAAAAATTTAGTTTTAATTGAAATATGTGCATACATATTTATCTATTATTAAAAAATATTTATTTTTGTAATTATTTTCCTAATATGGCTTTTGTTTTAAGTATTATCGTTATCTAAATTCTGAAGCATTTAGTAAATATTTTAACAAAAGTTAAAAATTTTTGTTCCACATTCCCAGCAAAAACTTACATTGAAATGTAATAAGTTCAAAAGCTAAAAATGCCACTTTTAACTCATGGTCGCTTATAAATAACTGCTTATATAAGTACTTAAAAATAGTTGTTTTTTTTACGCACCAAAAAAATTAGTCACATAGAATACGGGTCAGGGCCTCTTGTTCGATAATTCGATTTGTTGTGTGTGTTTTTAATAACAAATACTAAAACACCATATCTCTTTTTAAAGTATATTACTTTTTAATTATAGTACTAATTTAAAAATTAGATTGATAACAATATTATTGGTACTTTGTTTTAAATAATTTTGAACAAAAACATTTTTTAATTTTTATATTCCCCCAAAAATTCATTGATAGAGATTTGGTCAATTATTCATTATTAAACCGGTATGAAAAGTATTAAAAAAATGTTGCACTGACTTTTGTCAATAGTGGTTTGTGTGTGTCTTTTTTCTCATTTTTTTGTATTATTTTTTTGGTAAATTACTTTTAATGGCATTTAAAATTAAGGTTTTGTGTGTGTTTCTGTTCGTAATTTTGTTTTTGCTCTACACGCGCCATTCACTATTTTTAAAAAAAGTAATTTTAAATTTGCTTTTTTTTTTCTTTTTGCTTCAAACTCAATTTGGTAAAAACCGCAAAGTTTATGTTGCTGTTTTTTGTTTTTTTTTTTTTTCGATTTTGTTGCTGTTGTAACTCCAATTTGGCTGAAATTGATGTTTGAAAATCAAACGTTGAAATAGTGTAGAGAAACAAAATTATCATTAGCAGACAAAAAGAAAAAAAAAAGAAATATGTTAAACTCTTGTACAATCATAGACGACTACATAGTATTTAAAAGTTTTAAATACGAGTCTAGTGTATCAATCAGAAATTGTAATGTAAAGATTTATTGCTGGTTTTTGCACTGAAAATCCTCATCACACTAGAGTGGTAGCTACCAGTTTGTAGTTTTTGTATTTAATGCTGTTTGTACTATTTGTATCTAATTAATGGTTAATGAATAGTTTTCATTACGGCAGCCAGAAAACAAGTGCCATAATTTTAGCCACAACAAATGTAGAAACCTTTGTTGCCATATGAAATAGACAGTGAGCAACAAAATAATTACAAATTCAAAAAAATAGATTTTAATGTCATAACTTGTAAGCAACATGTTGTAGGCAACATTTTTGATTAAGAAAATATAACATAATCTTTTTCAAAATATTGTATCAGGGCATATCTAGTTTGAAATATGTTGCTATCAACATTTATACATATTTATTATATTTTTTGCAAAAAAAAGATTAATGTGTTTATAAACTATATATTTAATTTTTAAAAATTAATAAAATTAAATGAAATAAAAATCAATTCAGTTCAGTTTTAGTTCAGTTCTAGTTCTAGTTCTAGTTCTAGTTCAGTTCTAGTTCAGTTCTAGTTCAGTTCTAGTTCAGTTCTAGTTCAGTTCTAGTTCAGTTGTAGTTCAGTTCTAGTAGTTCTAGTTCAGTTCTAGTTCAGTTCTAGTTCAGTTCTAGTTCAGTTCTAGTTCAGTTCTAGTTCAGTTCTAGTTCAGTTCTAGTTCAGTTCTAGTTCAGTTCTAGTTCAGTTCTAGTTCAGTTCTAGTTCAGTTCTAGTTCAGTTCTAGTTCAGTTCTAGTTCAGTTCTAGTTCAGTTCTAGTTCAGTTCTAGTTCAGTTCTAGTTCAGTTCTAGTTCAGTTCTAGTTCAGTTCTAGTTCAGTTCTAGTTCAGTTCTAGTTCAGTTCTAGTTCAGTTCTAGTTCAGTTCTAGTTCAGTTCTAGTTCAGTTCTAGTTCAGTTCTAGTTCAGTTCTAGTTCAGTTCTAGTTCAGTTCTAGTTCAGTTCTAGTTCAGTTCTAGTTCAGTTCTAGTTCAGTTCTAGTCAGTTCTAGTTCAGTTCTAGTTCAGTTCTAGTTCAGTTCTAGTTCAGTTCTAGTTCAGTTCTAGTTCAG